CTAACTTTCAACGTTTATTCACGTGGCTTTGGATTTAATACCAAGTAACAATCATTAGAAATTCAAAAAATCATCCCCATAAAGAATAAAATCATTCTGCTATTCTTTTCCAGTTTCTTCTGTAGATTTCTGTAACCTGATGTTTTATTTGCAGTAGTTAGATGTTTATCGCTTTGAACATGCCATTGCATGTTCTGATAAAAGCAAACTTGAGTGTCTTGCTTTGTTCAGTGCTTTAATTTCCATCTTTTTTTTCCTGGTCAAACCCTTCATTTCTACTCCATCCCTGCATTCAAGTCTTGCAAGAATATTTTACATCATCATTTTCTTCTTCTTCAATCATGCTCTCCTTTTACTCTATTTCCTTTTTAAAATTGAGATCTAAACTTTAAAATCTTTCAACAACCTATATCAAATATTAATGTTTATTGATTTAGAATATATACAGATTCTAAATGCACAACTAAACCAAACTATTTTTATATAATAATTACTTTTTAATTGATCAGTTAATGAGTTGAGTTTCAAAAACAAATTAAACAAAAATAATAAAAAAAATTTATACAATGAAAATAATTAACACTGACAATATATATTGGTTAATTTACGTATTATACATCATGTATACATACATGTAAGCATGCATTTTATGATAAACAAGAAATAATATCTTTAGGTTGGGTGGGTACGTAGGGGGCCAACATATATCTATGGGATAAAGTTGAACGAAATGAAGGAAAATGTAGGAAAAATGATAGTGCATGATGCTTGAAGATGAGTATAGCAGCAGTCCACAAAATGATTGAATCAAGTGGGTTCAGTGGGACAAGCGCTTAAATTTCCATTAATGTCGTCCAACAGTCACCGTTAATAATATCATTGATAATGTTTTTTTGTGCAATATAGGAAATCAAATCGCTAAGCTAGCTCTTGTTCCTTTTGAAGCTCCCATGACAAGAACAGACAATAACCCCCATTATTCAACGCACTAATATTGCTAGTGTTTCACGAAAGCTCTCTTTATGAATTATATAAAAAACAAGAAAGATATAAACAACCTTCATGTTTTTCTGGGAACTTCAAATATTATAATCTTCATTTATCTATAGCACTTCGGTGGTCAAAGTTAGACTCAAGGTT